GAGAAAGAGAGAAAGAGAGAAAGAGAGGAAGGAAGGAAGGAAGGAAGGAAGGAAGAAAGAAAGGAAGAAAGAAAGAAAGAAAGAAAGAAAGAAAGAAAGAAAGAAAGAAAGAAAGGAAGGAAGGAAGAAGGAAGGAAGGAAGGAAGGAAGGAAGGAAGGAAGGAAGGAAGGAAGGAAGGAAGGAAGGAAGGAAGGAAGGAAGGAAGGAAGGAAGAAAAAAGGACAAATCCTAGAAGCCTCAGGCTGGTAATTTTGACATTTATCCCCAATAAAATTCTAGAACAGATTATTAAGCAAATGATTTGTGACCACTTCAAAAAGAATGTAGTAATAATTAGGAGCCAAGATAGGTTCATTAAGAACAAGTCATGCCAAACTAACTTCATTTCCTTTTTTTTTTTGAGTTATTAGGGTGGTAGATCTCCTGAATTCAATAGAAATACTATGTCTTAAGTTAGCAGTACATTTAATAAAATCTATTATGTCCTTGTATGCATGCATGTATGCATATGTGTGCATGTAGTGCATATAAATTACATTGTATACACGTATGTTACATGTGTTCATGGTCCAGATTTGTGGTTTCAGTCATTTAGGGAGCTCCTGATGAAGAAACTTCCTCTACCAATGTAGATAAGCAATCTTTGTGCGGCTTCTAGTATTAGAGCACTGTCTTAACTAAGAAGTTAAGTGACTTGCCCAAGGTCACAAAGACTAAGTATAATTCAGAGACAGAACTTGAACTCTGGGTCTGGCTCTTTTGCTGTGCTGACTTATGGGTAAGATCATGAACTATGGTGCACTAACGACTGGCTTAAAAATCGCACCAAAAGGTATTGATTAGGGACTCTGTATCAAACTTGAGGTGGTTAGGTGGCACAGTAGATAGAGCACAACACCTGGAATCAAGAAGACTCATCTTCCTGAGTTTAAATCTGGCTTCAGACACTTACTAACTGTGTGACTCTGGATGAGTCACTTAACTCTGCAATTTCTGCATCTGTGAAATGACCTAGAGAAGAAAATGGCAAACTACTGCAGTATCTTTGCCAAGAAAACCCCAAATAGGGTCATGAAGAGTCAGACACAGCTGGAAAACAACTGAACAACAATAACAACATCAAACTGGAGGAATTCTGCATCTCTGTCCTTAACTTTATTGTGTTCAACACCTCTTTATTAACTACTTAGATGAAGACACTGATGACATGCTTATCAAATCTTCCTATGACCAAACTATAACAGATAGATGATATGTTGGATCTTGTCATAATTAAGAGATAAATTTTTCTACATTGGCCACAGCCAATAAGATGAAACTTAATAGGAATATATATACATATGTCTGTGTGTATCCCTATTGAATTTGTGTATATACACATGCATACATACACACATGCACACACATACACACACATTCCTTTAAATTTCATCTTGTTGGTTATGGCTGATGTATAAAATTTTGCCTCTTAATTACATATGTGTGTATGCACATGTATGCATATGTATGTGGATATCTGCATCATACTAGCCAATGATGAAAAATAAATGAAAGCAGGCCTGAAATGTTCAATTTCATAATGATTTATTTGTTGTAGTGTCTTCAGTCAGATCATGTGATGCATGATCACATAACAAATGAAGTTTCTCAGGTTGCGGGAAGGGGCAGTTTGCTGGAAGCAGTTTATTACACGAAAAGACACTGGGCAGGTTATATGTTAAGGCATGTGGGTGCACACATATGCATATTATAGTCTATATTTGTGTATAAATATATGTAGACTATTATAGTACTGCTATTAAAATACAAGAATTTTATAGCACTTTATTTTTTCAAAGTATTTTTATATTAGCCCATTCAAGAGAAGGAAGGCAAGATTCATGATCCTTATTTTGCAGATTAGTAAACTGAGACTGAAATAGGTACCTCAATGATTTGCTAATTGATTTGTGCAAAGCAACACAAAAAAGTAGTAACAGACCTGGGGTCTGTTGTACTTGGTTGCATCAAGGTCATCTGAACCCTATCCCAATGATCCATACATTTTATAATCATGATTGAAGATTTTTCAGCATTCCTTTGATTTTATAAGAGGCTCAAATTAGGATAAACTTGCTTTCTTCTCCTAAATTGGAGTTTTAGCCTAGTGAGAATACATTTCATATTCCTTGAAAATGTGAACAGATTCGTGATTTCTGATCTAGATAGCCAGGTCAAACGCTCAATAAAAATATGTGGGTTCATTTTTAGACTGAAAAATCTGAATGGCAGAATCAGTCATCTCTCCGGAAGCTTTCATTCCATGGTCACTAACCTTCGCTTTATCTCAAACAGCATTTCTGCCCCATCTGGGACTGAATCTTCATGCTACCAGTCTTCAATTAAATTTACTTATTTCGAAAACACAGGTACTAGGATGAGAGTTCTAGAGCTGGAAGGGATCTTGTCCAACTCTCTCATTTTATCAGTGAAGACACAGAAGACAGGAAGATCCTCACTAGTCCAAGGTCTCCCAGGTAATAAACATGAGGGGTAGAACTTGAACAAGATCTTTTGACTCCAGAACACTAACTCTAGAGTGAAAGCTTTCCAATGTTCTAAGTTGCTCTAGCCTTGTCAGCTGTATTTTTTTTCTTTTTTTGCCTTTCGTTGTTGTTGTTCAGTCATGTCGGACCTTCATCATCCCATTTGGAGTTTTCTTGGCAAAGATATTGAAGTGGTTTGCCATTTTCTTCTCCAGCTCATTTTAAAGATGAGGGAACTGAGGCAAGCAAGGTTAAGTGACTTGCCCAAGGTCACATGTCTAGTAAGTGTCTGAGGCCAGATTTGAATTCAAGGAAGATGAGTCTTCCTGACTCCAGGCTTGGCACTGTATTCACTGTACCACCTAACTTCCCATGACTTTCTTTACATGGACCTATATAATACCAACCCCTTTCACATCATAAAATAACACTTGCATTGTGTGTCTACCAAAGTATATGATCACTTTTCTAACTTGCTCTATTAAGCAAGGATGAATAAAAAATATTATATAAATACAAGTTGCTGGCACAATAGTGTTCCCTGTGAGATCACTTTGAAGCCTATGAATCTCTAGAAACCGGGAAAAAGTACTTACAAAGTACCTATCTTATAATGTCAAATTCCCCTTGCTCAAGTTTTAAGTCCACACCTTTCCCTATTGAGATGTTTGTACCACACCACCAACAAAGTCTGGGGCTCACTCTTACAGAAGGAACAAATATAGTTATAAAGGAAATTGGAATTTTGAACCCTCTGCCTATACATAGTACATTTTACTAAGGCAAATTCTCTCAGGAAATAAATGAAGATAATCATTTGAAGGTATTAGTTTAAATATTTTGAATTAGCAGCTATTTGACAAAGAATAAGCTCAAGGTAAACTTAAAAGGCTTGAAAAGTCATATGCACACACATATATATACATGCATACATATATACACATAGGTGTATTTACTTTTATATTTATATGCACAAATATTATATACATGCGTGCACATGCACACATTATGTGTGTGTGTTTGGATATATATAAAATAAATCCTTCCTTTCACAAGAATGGTAGCCCATTTTAAAATACATTATTTCCTGCCATTACTCTTTAGCCTTTGGCATATCCAGGGAAAGGTACATCAAAAGATATTTTCCATTGGGCAAATAATCATATCAAAGGGTTTCTATTGTTGCCTTCCTACCAGTTGTGCTCCCAAATTGTCTCCCCATGGAATACCTCAACTTAAAGAATGCCCCACATCTACTACTGCACCCTCAACTCTCTGCTCATGTGCATCTTTTGACATTACACCCAGCCTTGAGGCAACCATTTATCTGAAGTTTTTCTTGGGACCCAAACTACTACCTGCCTGAGAAAGTCCGTCCCTGCTCTATGAGATTAGCATGGGTTTTGAAGCACTGCCACTGATCCTTGAGAAAATCTCTTCCTGGGGGCAGCTCAGTGGTGCAGTGGATAAAGCACCAGCCCTGAAGTCAGAACTGAGTTCAAATCTGACCTCAGACCAAACACTTCACACTTACTAGCTTGTGTGTGACCATGGGCAAGTCACTTAACCCCAACTGCCTCAAAAAAAAAAAAGATCTCTTCCTGCTTGCACTCAGAAAGCACCTTCCATGTTCCTGTTTAGTCAACTATGGAGATTCTGTGCAGCATGGTGGACCACATTCTAGATTGGGAATCAGGTAGATGGAGTTAGATTCCAACCTCTGAACATGTTCTAGTTGTGAAACAAAGCAAGTCAATTAATCTCTCTGAGCCTCAATATCCTTGTCTGTCAAAGGTCTCAAATGATATCATGTATGGAAAGTGTTTTATCAATATTAATGGATTATATAAATGTCAACAATTATTATTTACAGTGAAGACCTTTTCTATATAGGTCCACACAAGACTGCTCAGAGGCCTTGCACACCTATAAAATAAAAAAGTACTAACACTCCCTAATTACAATGGATCTTCAAGCAGTTTTCTTTTTTAATAACCTTCGATGATTCAAAGGGTAATGGTGAGGTATATGGTAGGCATGAGTGGGCTATGACATAATACAGAGCAGGGATTATTTGGGAGAAGCAAAGGTACCATCATATAGAGGATACAACACTGTTCTTGGAGGCAGGAAGACCTGGGTTCAAATTCTACTTACTAGCTGGGTGGCCTTGAACAAATCATTTAAACTTCCCCATGCCTTGCTTTGTGTGAACAGTGTCAGGGGAGGGGGAGAAGAGGAGGGACTCGAGGCCACATGTGACTTTTTAGGTCCTTGGATGTGGCCTTTTGACTGAGTCCACGTTTTATAGAACAAATCCTTTTAATAAGGAGACTTGTTCTATGAAGTTCAGATTCAGGCAAAGCGCCACACTTGAGGACCTAGAGGGTACACATGGCCTTTAGGCCACAGGTTCCCCCCCTGGCTTTGGCACATAGTAGGTGCTTAATAAATGCTTGTTTCCTGACTGACAGGAAGAAAAGATGGACAATGACAGCAAAAGATAACCAGTGGACAGCCTGTGTGCTCTCTGAAAATGGGAGGAAAACCCTCTGTGGCTGACATATGGGAGGACAGAATGAACAAGAGTGGATAGGTTGTAACCTACCTTTTTAAAGGGAGTCCCCACATTGATGAGATCACAGAAGCATTGCACTCTGGAGAGAGCCCTAATTTTCTCATATGGGTGAGACAGAGTTGATTTTAAGTTTCCAGAAATGAAGTGCAGGCAAATGAAAAAAAAAAAAGGAAGTCACAATCAATAAAAGGATTTTATTTTGTTTTCATTTTTCATTTTTCAAGCAGCCCTATATAAGAATACACTTCTCTTAGTAAGGTTATTTTAAATGCACATATAACCACATAAACTCAGTTCTACCAATACTTGTAATGAGATGCCATTCCAGTATCATTTCCCTTTAATAGAGTGTTCAATAGAGTGTTCTCAAAAGTAATCCTCCAAACAAACTTCACTGGACATAGGACATGCATGAAGCATGTGCACTCTACATATAGCAGGGAAAGAAAGAAGCAGAGATGGGGATAGAGTCATAGGCATAAACACACCTTTCAGTTTCTCAGGAAAGGCTGTATGCTTGAATCGGAAGTCCAGGTCACCACCAGTGACATTTTAGCTGGTACCTGTATCTCAATAATGATGATGGAAACTAGGAAGGAAATGATACATTCTTTGGATGATTAAATCAGTCTAAACATTCTACTCTCGTGATTCATAGTGGCAGGAGTAAGGATGCCATATTCTTAGCCTCATCTCTGTCCTGCTAATTTTCTTGAGCTTCATTATATTTTTTTCCTTGCTGGTATCTCTGACCCCTCTTTTGCTTTCCCCCATCATCTGTCTCTCTTTTTTCTTCTAATTAGGCCACTTCTTTATTTCTGTCCTTCTTGCTCCAGGTATACTTGCTACTTCTATCCCTGCTATCACCTCTTTTCCACATTATCTTTTTCTAAGCACAATGCCAATGCCATTTTTTCTTATGATTTGTGAAACTCTTTCTTTCCTCTGTCCCTGCCCAGGCCTCCTACCCCCTGCCTAAGCTTTTCCTTTTTCCTCTATTATCCAATATGCTCTCTGTTATATTTCTAGCCCTTAAAGTTCACAGAGCTTGTGGGAAAAGAAAATGACAGCTGTGGTGAAACAACAGAGGTTTGTCCAAAACTACCTCTGATTATTCAACTCTCCTTTACCATTTTGTCCCAAAACAATAGTTTAATTGCACACATCATGAAAACTGCAAAAGTCAAGAAAAATCCAGGGAGAAATGCACTTGTGAAAATCTGTTTGCCATCAGTTTCCCCCCTCCCCAATAATAAAACAGGATGCTGTTTACTTTTTTCTTTTTTAATTCTCTTACAAGAAAGCTAGACCTAAAAGCTGTCTTTCATCTATTGATAATGAACTCTCTGTGGCAATATGACTTGACATACGTACCACCTTCAAATGTAAATGATTTTGATAAGAACGAACATTTAATTTTAATGGGATGCTTTCAGTGGTGTGCTGAACACTGGGGAAGGGGACAGAGTGCTTTACTCCAGAGCTGGTAGTGACAAGAAGAGAATCTCTTGGTTGAAGAATTTCCCAGAGGAGATCCTTGGAATAATAGAGCCAGTTTAGTTTTCCTCTCTCGATTCTACCCACAGCTTAGATGTGCAACAATTTTAAGGCTATTAACTTTACCAAGGTTGTTATATATTTCTTTTTTCTGGAAAATCTTTGAATGTTTATTTCTTGTGCTTTGGGCTTCATGTAGAAGCTTTTCACCTGCTCTGTATACACAATATGCCAGGTGAGTTTGTGTCCCCATTGATCAGCATTTTTACAAATTACTAATTGGATACTTTTTTACATGATTTGAAAATTTAAATATATGTGTGTGTGTATATGTGTGTGTATGTATATGTATATACATGTGTGTGTATATAGATATAGATACATATGTATATATATTTCGAGAAGGCTTAATGGGAGAACTGATCATTACAAATGTAATTGAATCTTTTTTTTACTTTTCTTTTCTATTCTGCAATGTATTTACAATCTGTCTGTTGTGCTTCCGAACCTTCGGAGGGAAAAAAAAAGTACATTTCTGACTACTTGTAGAAATAACAATGAAAGAAAAAGAAATATATATTAAGGAAATCTAAAATATACCAATGATTATAGCAAAACCAAATGAAGTCCCTATGGGATACAACCAAAAGTTCACTGCACAGAGGCAGTTATTGAGATTAACCATCAAAACAACCTCCTTTTCCCCAAACAATAGCTGTTAGTCTTACAGGGAAAATGGAGAGGAATAAATATACACATGTACAACACATAGACATAGATATGGGGTAAATAGACAATTAGGAAATTGAAGAAGAAAAGGATAGATGAAGTGAAAAATAAACAAAAGAAAAGAGGAAAGATTAAAACAGAGAAGAACCAGGTTTTAATTAACACTGATATATAGCCATGAATATAGTATGGATACAAATCTATCCTCTAAGAATCTTTTAAAGAGAAATACTGCTGTGATAAGAGAAATAGGCACATTAGCACTGACTGGCTTTTGAATAGTGATATTTTGCCCTCCAAAGTTCTACAGAAATTATCCTGTACCAGTAATATTTAATTGTAGCATAAAAATTAAACACCATTTACTTGATATAAAATAGGGATAGTATGTAAATTAAGTAAGTTTCAATTCATGTCTTCTTACTCACATCTGTTGGCAGTTTAAATAGTTTTAGTGTCATTAATTGTTATAAAAGTGCAAGATTTGCTGTATGCTTGCCACTTAGGACCAAAGGCACAAAAGTCTAATTGAACTAAGTAATTAGTAATTTGTCATTTCCTATTGTCAGCAATTACTTTCCATTAGAAATCCTCACTGAAAATTCTAATTTGAAGTGAGGTTTGCATTTTATTGCTGTCCATCCAAATTAGTTTAAAATTGACAGCTACATTTTCATTTGAAAATTTAAAGGTATTAAATGTGCTTGAAGAAACTGAAGCATGTTCTATCCCAGATAAGCCTGTGGGGGTGTGTATAAATGTCTATGTTTGTGCATACATACATATATCCATGCCCACTCAGGAGGAAAGAAGGAAAAAAAAAAGAGTGTTCCTTTTATTTTTCCAAATGGGAGTTGTTGTGCAAATATCACACTGCCCTAGATGCTTTCAAATCTCTGGCTTTCTGATTTTTACATTTGCACACAGACCTCCACAATGTAGAACCCACCTTCACATAGATAGGGAAGGAAATCACACCATTCTGCTTCTTTCTAGGGTTCCAAGCCCCCATTGGGATTTGGCTATTGGGTCATTTTTCATTTGTTCTTTCTTCATGCTCCATTGGCCAATCAGCATGGTCTCTTCCCTTAAATCCCAAGTGCAGTATGAGGCAACCTTAATGGTGAGGGGAACAGTTTGTCTGAGCCTTTAGAAACACACAGTGCTGATTAGCTGATGATGAAGAAATGATTTATAATTGAGATGGTTCCATGGAGCTTCTCTAAACTAAGGGCAGCCACTGGTGGGGCAGGTTTAGGCCAGGGCTCTCATTGTTAAAATTTGAGCACCGCATAGGTTCTAAAAGTTCCCAACTAAATGTTATTTGCCTGTTAAAACTTGATATGCCTGCTTCTAGAAAATAGCGCTCCATTTCTTTAACAAATTTATCAGAGATCTGGTTCCTGATTGTTAAAATTAATGACAGAGGAGCAGAAATACTTTACCTCCTTACCACCAGCCAGTCCGCTGCAATATCCCTAGAAGCCTAGAGCTGTCATCTAACAGATCTTTAACCCAAGTGCTTTATTTAACAAAAAACATCCAGAAGAGAGAAAACACGAGGTCTTCAATGAGCCTTTGCACAGGTTGTTGTGGGGAAACAACCTTGAGGTGTCTAATACAAGAAGAGCTAACAAAAGTCCATTAAAAAAAAAAGAGATATGATTTATTAACCTACAGAGTTAAAAATCTATTAGAGGGCAAAAGACAATGAAATTGCACAATTACATGTCTAATAATTCAATAATTATTAAAGGAGGCATTGTACACATCTGTACATTAATTGCAATAATATGGTATACTAATATTTTTCCTTTTTCTAATTTATGTAAAGCTCTAATTGACTTGTAACACTAGTAATGGCGATTTCTCTAATATGCATTTTTTTAATGAAGACTCAACAGTTACACTAAATTCATATACTTTGATAGACCATGTTTGTCATAGAAATTCATTTTTCTAACTAGCTGGTCTAGATCACAGTTATGCAGCACTTTATTTTAAGTGGGAATTAATTAATGCTAATTTACAACAGAATTCCTATGAAATTTCTTATGTCTATTAGAATATCATGATCGTTATGAGGCAGAATACCAGAACACCTTAATGATTTCTCTGTGTAATAACAGATGTTTTTGGCAAATCTTTAAAATTCAAAAGAATGGTTCAAAGAAGAGGAACATAGGCTCATCCTATCCTGCTTCGGGTAGTGATCCATGCAGGGACAGAGAGGACATTGCTCTGTCCTCTACACCGAAAAAACAGAGCCAAACAAAACATACCCAACAAAACCAGAGGCTGACTGAAAATTTGAGATCAAAATGATCCACTAGAAATTTTAACTGAGACTCAAGTCGCCTGAAGAAATCTTACTGCATAGCAATAAAATTTCTCCTCATGTTGGTAACAAGTTTGCCGGTAACACTAGTGTTTTCATTGAACTAACAGTTATTGACACTGTAGATTATCTCTAGCCTATGTTTATCCTCTTTCAATAGATTCACTTGCTTCTGGTCCAGATACCTTTCAGGGAAGAAAAATATGCAGTTCTTATGTAAAACCTCTTATTTGGCCCCTTCTACAATTGTGCATAATTGCCAATAAGGCACTGCACACAGAACAGAGAATTAAATTAAAAGTTCAATAAACACTGATCAATATGCTTGTAAATACCAAGTCTATAAAATGATCTTCTCTTTAAATGTAGTTATAC